GGAGTCAAACCATGGCGGTTGCTCCTCTGTTTTAAAATGATATGACCTTTTCCTGCTGTTCATTGATTTTGCACAAGATTTAATAAAGTTCGTTACACATTCTATAGCCAGGTCCACCTCCGTTAACAGTAAATGTTTGAATTCAAAATTAAAATTATCAAAGTTCGTATTTATCTCCATAGCGAATTCGTCCTTTTTACTGGGCTTCCATACATATTTGTTGTAGGGGGTTGTCTGTATATTTGTGCTTTCGGTTAAGAAACCTTCTACATGGCATTGAATATGGAATTCTAAGGGCAGATGATCCGATTCGTCTTTACATTGAACATAAAAATAGTCAATAAGATTGAACATTTCAGTGGAAGTAATGACATAGTCTACAACACTAGAACCATTATGTTTTATACAAGTCATTGCACCAAACTTATCACGATCACTCCTCCCATTTAGCATATGAACATTGAATACAGCACACATGCGTATTAATTTAAGTCCAAATTTGTTAACTTCATTATCCTGCGAATTTCTTGGAATGTCAAAACCGTCAGTATTGTATTCAGCATCTTCGAGACCCGGTAAATATTCAATGTTATCATCAAATATATAATCTTTCAGCTGGCCACATCTGGAATTGAAGTCCCCAGCCAATATAAAATTTACATCAGGATATTCACTTTCAACTTCAACTAAGTTTTCTTCAAATTGTTCAAACAGGCAGCCATTCGTGTGTACTTTACTCCCTTCAGGTGCAATATAAACAAAACAGAACACTGCATCCTTTTCCCAACCAAAGTAGGCAGCATTCAATTTCAAAAGTATAGTTTCTGTATAACAACTCTTTATTCTAACAATACCAGCTGCTATAGTTTCTCGGAAGTACACGACTAACCCACCCCTTTCTTTACCATTTCCTCGAATACATACTTCATATTTATAATCTGTAAGAACTTCATCATATTTAAAGTCATCTCCACACCATGTCTCTATTAAACATATAACATCAAATTGGCTCAAATAATGTTTAAAATCGCCAAATTTACATTTACTCTTTAGTCCATTTACGTTCCAACAGACACATTTTAGTTTTTTAACACTCGAATAAAATTCAGAAACTTCCGGATGTGATGTGATTTGCTATTTGTTGTTTTCACTTAGAACTATTATCTTTTCGGCTTCAAGGTCGAACGTATACACATCTTGATTAACTATTAACTTGTCGAATTTCAAATACGCTCTCGCATTTTGATCATTCTTCTTAACTTCATTCAACTTAGGTATGAGCGCTCTTCTGATTTTTCGAACTCGTTCACTGAAATCTTCTCCGACTCTCAAATTAGAGTCAAATGATTTGAGGTGTAGTCTACAACTTCGTAAAATCGTGTCTCGGTCTTTTAATCTATTTAACACTATTAACATAGGTCTTGGTCTTGTTGCGTTTGGCGTTCTTTTTCCAATTCGGTGAGCTCGTTCAATCCCAATATCTTTGTCACTCTTACAACCTTCAATATTAAATTCCTCAGACAAAATTTTCCTTACCAGTTCTTCTCCATTTTCATTCCTATCGCCTGTTTCTGCTATTCCATAGATAATAATATTTTTCTCTTTGCCTTTATTTTCCAGTGAATCCAGTTTTGAGCCGAAGTTAACAAAATTAGTTTTCATGTCATGCACATCCGATTTTAGTTTAAGAAACTCTTCTTTAATATTCATATCTCGCATTTCTTGTCTCATATCGGCTATATCACCTTTTAATGATTGAAGCACAGTCATAAGGTCTAAATCCTTATCTTTGTCCTGTGGATAAACAATATCTCCGGTCCTTGAGATCTGACCTTGACGGGTAGAAGGGCCTGGATTACTCTCGATATCACCCGATAACAGCAATACCAGCGTGGAGATTATCAAAAGTGTCATAATCCTATTATTCTGTCGAATAATTCCAACATATGTCTTCAAAGATGCACTTTTGTATCGACAACAGCTAATTTGCATCCTCCAAATAGCAATTTCAGGCCCCATTTCAACAAAAATTGAAAACCTAAAAACGGTTACGGATGGGTGAATCTCACTGTGTTAAAAGTGCGACCGTGATATTCTCACATATTGTTTGCTCAACAGCAGCTTATCACGACAAACCGACATCACGACAATCCGACATCACGACATTTTTACGCGACATTAGGACATTTTTACGCGACATTAGAACATTTTTACGCGACATTACGACAATTTCTACTGGGTTAGAATGTCGTAGCGTCTGGTTATCGAGTTGTCGTGGTGTCGGGTTAAAATGTCGTGATGTCGTGTTGTCGGGTTGCCGCCTTATGATGGTCGACATCACGACACCTCGGGATTTGGCGCAATGGTTAGAGAGTAGGATTTGTGACCGAATGGTTGCAGGTTCGAGACCCGAATTGTGCGCCGAGTTCTTGTGTCCTTGACACTTTATCCCTGTATTCCAGTCTACCCAGCTGTAAATGGGTACCGGTAGGATGGTGAATGTATTATACAAAAAACTGTTGCGCTTCCTTGAAGCAGCATATGTTGGGGCTCTTTCTAAGAGTTCAGGGGTAAAGGGAGGTAATCAGGCTTTACCTGTATCCTAGAGACCGGGATAATAATTGTGTAGCGCTTTGAGCATAAACTTGGTTTATGGATATAGCGCATTATAAATATACTCATTATTATTATTATTACCAATCAGCCTTCATAATTAACCCCTTCGCGTGAAGGCAAATAAGTGCAAATTATGCATATTATTTCATACTCTTATAACATTCCAGCGATATTCCTGATCCGATATCCTGGCATTTGACGTCATTGCTGGGAGCAAATTCCTGTGAATGAGGGGTTTGAAAACGGGAATCGATGGGACAGAATCTTGCGATTCTACCTGTCAATTCCGTCTGTTTTGTAAGAGTTGGCAGAACATGTGTACAGTTTGTCGCCCCACGACCTACACACTAGTAGTACTACTAACTGGGTTGTTTACTATAACCGTGAATATCATAGTGATGAGACCACAGAGGAGTGAAAGAATGATGCCATAATGTAATCGAGCGCCGAGGCGCGAAACAATTTCAGATTGCAACGTATAATATGTAACTGTGCTTTTAATTTTTAGGGACTGGACCTGAAAATTTTAGTCAATTTCCTGGCATTTTAGTGCATTGGTGGGAGCAAATTCTTGTGAATGAGAGGATAAGCAATGGGACAGAATCTGGAGGCCTGCCTGTCAATTCCGCCTGTTTTGTAAGAGTTGACAGAACATCAGCTGTTCAGTCTGTGGCCACACGACCCACTCACTACCGGTACTACCAACTGTGCGATTCGCTATAACCGTGAATCTAATAGTGATGAGATAATAGTATAAAACCGCAGAGGAGTGGAAGACATATTGGAACCGAGCGCCGTAGCCGCCAAAAAAGATACATGGTCTCCAGCGTCATTTTGGCGTATATCTGGGACAACTGGAGGTTACTTTGCTAAAGGTTTACCAGAACAACACACCAAATACCTGTACTACGTTTTAGTTTACTGGTGTAATAATAATGAGATGTACATGATTTGACAGGGAGTCTTGAACAGGCATTATTTAAAAGTTAAATCTGCCTATTGCTGGTCTTTCTTAGGCCTTAAATGTTATATAAATTATTAATTAGACATTTATTAACATGACAAAACCATAATTAACTCTATATGGCATCGGATGCCTAAAATTTTAAGTAAATTAGAATGGTTCGGTCATTTAAAGATTTAATTTAAAAATGGAGAAGCGAGACTAAGACTCGAATGGCCAGTACAGTAGTTAAGATCAATGCACACATCTTGCCAAAACTACAATTATTGATAACTTTGCTCAAAATAAAGTAATTTGGTCATCAAAGTTAACAGTAGTGCCAAGTAATTTTCAATGCTTAAAATTGCCAGACTTACTTGTCACTCCCGGCATGCACTATTCTTCAAGTGGCTCTTTATATGAGCCAATTTGCTACTGTTACTGATATAGTTAAAACAAATTTGAGAGCTATGATAACATTAGGAAAAAGGGTATTTTTTTTTACTAATTTATACCAATTTTTTTTTTAAATTGCTCGACATACATCCGGACTTCTCTAGGCTCCGGGCCCCTGGACAACGTCTCAGCTGACCCTCCCTCTCACGAGACCTGGACAGAGGCTTCAGAGTCTTAAAGCATTGGGGCTTAAGAGGACGCCTGTCTTCATTAATCTAGTTGTTGCAGAACAGTAGGACGCTAAACCCCATTTGATATCATATATAAGAGGACGATCACTATCGATATTCAATAGAGGCTATATTTTCTAATGGATGTTTTTCAAATTTGGTAGGAAGCATTTGGGTTATGAGAGGACGACGCCTATCGATTTAAAAGTACCAGTTAACGCAGTAAAGGCTACAGATTTTAGCACTGTGGTAATGAGAGGATGATCCCCGTCGTTAGTTCAGACTGTAGTCGCAACGATAGTCTACATCCGAAACTCGCCCAGAGGATTGACCCCGCAAGTTTTGACGCATTATCAAATTTTGTTAACGTCCCAGTTTTTCATTCGGATAAGACTGTTGCTGAGTGGGCGTATTTCCGCCCTAAATTGCGTGGCTATCTTTCATGAACTTTTCTATGGATTTGTTACATTCTTCTGTATTTTCCCCAGATTGAGGCCTAATTAAGTAGTTTATTAGTTTAACTTTTGGATTACTGCCTGTCAAGGGATCTTTTACGTGTACGCCAATGTGTACACAGGAGCTCGGTTTTTTGTCCCATCCGAATGACTAGACAGCTGTCCTTGTCAGGCCCTCCATCCTGTATCACTGACAAGGGGGAGCCACACCGGAAAATCTGGATGACCTTTCTCAGCCAATGCAGGGATCGAACACCATATCTCCAGGCTAGTGTGCCAGCGTCTTACCCACTTAGCCACTGTGACCCCCAAAATATAGATAGACTGAAAGATGAATGGACCAATATTAAATATACCACAGAATATCTTAACACTTTAATACATTATCATATACAAAATAGGGACAAAAAAAAAAATAATAATTTCTGTATTATTTATTTTTCTGTCTTTGTCCTTTTGATGTAGTTGTTGCTTTCTTATTCTTTTTATCGCCTTCAAATACCTTTTTATTGCCAGAATCATGACGATTTTCTTTAAAATGTTTGTCACCAACATGTTTTTTAAAGTTTTGTGCAGAATTTTTCAAATTCCTTGGTATTTTTTTCTTCTTCATTTTATCTTTGAGACTCTTCTTGGCCTTCATGCCCTGAAAACTACTTTTGTTAACAGTATTTGATGATTTGTTATAACCTCCGACCTGTTTAGATTTTTTCCATGGTTGATCATGCTGTGATTTTTCTGAGTAAAATTTGTCAAGGATATCTAAAGAATTGAACAAAAGCTACAAAGGATAAAATGTTCAAAATTTTTAACGACACCCCACTCTTGTCAAGTAACGTCTGACCTGAAGTCCCCACTGCTGAAATTCAAACCTGGAACATTCTAGTTGATAGTCGAGAGTCTCGATCTGTCGGCTACTGCGGTCCTAAGACATAATAAAGAAAAGTATGCAAGGTTTTATGGCCATTTCTACGCCAGGAAAAAGCAGCTGCAACGTAGGTCTATTATTGTTGTTTTGAACTTTGAGAATCATTTTCTAGATTTTTTGCCATTCTCGATGTAATATATAAGTATGAAAAGGATATTTTGTGTTTTTCTGGTCTCTCTCTCATACATCTTTTTACTCTTAACTCCCTTTTATTTAATACATTTCCATCAAGTTTTAATGCCAATTCTACACAATCTTTAGTCTGTAAAATAAATATTGAAGGTATGAATAAATTGCTGAATATATTGGGTAGATATAGTATACAATGGAAGCTAAATGTAAACATAAATGAAACTAAGGTAGTGATTTTCTGATCAAGAGGTCAGTCAAATGAAACTTTTTCTTTATTAAATCACGATTTAGAAACAAGTGATTTATATAACTATCTAGGCGGTATTAAGCTTCTCGCAAGCGAAACAAAAAATTAAAAACCAGGCATCTAAAGCACTGTACTGATTCTAGGGTCCGAAGATAAATTAAAAAAAACAGTCACATCTACTACCACGCTTAACTGTTTTACAGGAAGTAGCTCTATTAAAAAAATAGAAATGAATCCAGAAATACAGTGTAGACTCATTTGTCAAGTATGCAACCCTATAAAACAATATAAAAATTATTTCATCTCACCTTAAATACAACATAGCAGAAACCTTTTCCAAACCCAGTTTTATTATCACGAATTATTCGAATATTTTCTATATCTCCACACACTTGAAACATTTTTCTGATATCTTCTTCGTTAACATCTTTAAATAAAGAAAAAAGTGGTCTCACATGTTGTTGAAAGAGTAAGTAAACTTTGTCAATACTTATTGCCATATCAGTTGTATTAATCATATGTTTCCTTAAGGTTGGATACAATACATACCAAGACAAAAATCAACATCATCATTCTGTTATCCGAAAACGGTTAATTGATTCATAATTATGTCACAATGAATAACGCCACTTCATTATAAAGAATACTGGCACTTACCAAATGGAAGGTTTCCTACAAAAACAGATTTATTGTGATTTGACTGAAAAAACAACAAAGATTTATATTAAAGATAAGTCTTAAAGATAAGAATTTCCAGGAAAAAAATTATAGCATCAATAAACTCATAACAAATTAAATGACTACTAAAATACTGACCACCAACCAGTGTTTCTGACACCAATAGTTGAGCAGTGCAGTGCTCAGGTGTTTAAATACATTGATAGCACTCACAATGCATAAAACATGTGGCAGATATCCAATAATATATACTGTATTAGGCAACAATTGTCTTTTACCCATTAGTTTCATTATGTTTTCCATGGATGGATAAATGAGATAACCCCCACCCCCTCCATCACAAAGTTTTTAAACGATCATTCGTCAGAACACCAAACATAACAAATTCTCCAATTAGGTGACATGGTGGAGGAGTTGTTATGGGGCACCCATGAAGAATACTTTCTAGAGAAAAAATATGTACCTTTGAATTATTTGTGGATATATCCACTCGTAGATGGTATCCATCAACCTCTTTACCATTCCTTCAAAATAAAATATTACAATAGCTTATCTCTCGACAATATAATTAGGTTTTATTTTATAAAGATGTGCCATCTTGCGTGTTTGGTTAGGACACCGGACCAAAACATCCATGCTTGTGTGGTTAGGACACTGGACCAGAACGAACATGCTTGTGTGGTTAGGACACCAAGCAAAAACGTCCATGCTTGTGTGGTTAGAACACTGGACCAGAACGTCTATGCTTCAAATCCTGTTGTCAAGAAAACATTTATGGAAGTCATAAATTGAGTACAAGGAAACACTGCTTTTCAGGTAACCTTTTCCCCCTTGTACGCTACACTATATGTTTAATCCCAAACAGACTGGGAATACGTTGTATGATGATTAGCAATGAATTAGCGCCATCCAAAATTCATGCTCACTTCCAGCTTGTGAAGACTAAAGTGGTAATAGTTCCAGATTACAGGTTAAATATAGACTTTAAGCAAAAACGATTTAAATATTATTCAAATCAATGAAACCTAAGAAAAGTCATGGCCATTTCATGTTCAACTTACATTTGTAATGCCTTTTCAGCTGAAAATTCTTCTTTATAACACACAAAAGCAATCATATTTTTCTTCTCAGGATGAAACTCTTTCCTGAATAAATAAAATTCAAAATGTTATAGTAAACAATGCAATCTGTCTACAATTTTCATCTTCTACATTTATAAATTTTAATTTCAACTAAACAACCTCGAATTAACAGTTTATAGGAATATAATAAATGCAACAATAAGAACAGTGTGTATATGAGTCAACTTTTTTCTTTAAATATTCCAGACCAAAAGGCAATAGACAATATACAATAAAAATCAATTTAACCAAAAAGCAGATTCGTCAAAAAACAATTCAGATCTGTCAATTGTAATGTAAATCATGGCTACGTGAAATTCACATTACTTTCTATTGATTTTACCAGGACATCTTCATTGTCTTAAAACGTCATCTGAAGCCTGAAGGATAACTCATTTATATCCATTGAGAATAAGATGGTATCAGAGCTAGGTTTTATTGTTTTAAGCATCTAAATGTTTGCACAATTTATTTTCAGGCCTTATTTTTGTTAAATGACACAGATGTGAAGTGATAATAGGATATTTACAAATAGTTACTAACTTTATCATAGCTACTCTTTTAGATGTTGTCATGTCTTTAGTTGGCTGAAAGAGTAAAAATATACATTTATTAATATGTCAATGTAGAAAGATGAGCAATTGGCAAAAGAAATTACAATCTGGTGATAATGGACTGATATAGGTCTTAAATGTCTAATCAAGACAATACTTCAGTAACCCAAACAGTGGACTCTGTCACTTCCGACATCTGAATACTAAGGCATTATGTGAAATCTGTCATCATTTTCATGTCCTGATTTATTTCCTTATTACTTCAAACAAAAAAGTTTTGAGTAGTCTGGATTCTGAATATTCGGCGGTCCAGTCACATGTGTCGGTATTTGTTGATTACCTTGATCATTTTATAATCTCTTGTAAGAGAGCGCTTGGCATTTGGTTTGAGTTTCTCGTGTCAAATACAGCGACATTATAATATTGTGTTTATAATGTGTGATCGTACAGAAAGCGTTACCATATGTTAAGTTCTGGGTATTCGAGAGTGCATTATAATAATACTTCTGGTATTCGAAGGTACAATAATACTTCCGATATAATACTTCCAGTATTGAGGCAACTGAGTATTCTGACATGCTGTGTAATCCAGTATATTGTATAGATCCTGCACTACATGTATGTCGGAATTGACATCCACTGTGTTCCTATGTTTACCTGGGCAATGTTTACCTGGGAGAGGGCGGAAATTAGCCCAGAGTGTTTCTGCATTCTCTATCAAGGGTTAACAACTGGAACTCAGATTTTTGTCCCGTAATTAACTAGATACCCTCCCTTGTGATTCATATTTGTTAAAAGAAACCGATTTGGAGTATTATTTAAAATTCAGTCAAGTAATTACTCATTTACAATTATCGTTTGCTTGACTACAGGCAAAATAACTCTAGCCTGTTGTTTTGTTTATCACATTGTTCAGAGGGATGGATGCTTCAATGTAAACTAATTGTTCAAGTAAAATAGTTAAGACAACATACTGGACATCTGAATCGCAAATTTTCAATAGCACCATATTTACTGAACAGTTTCTTTAATTTCTGAAAATAAAAAAATTAAAATTGTGTCTCATACAATTGAACCAACGGCTGCCAGGCAGGATACGCCAACGTTTTCGAGAGATGGATAGAGAACAAGCTAACAAGAAAGTGATTTTTCCTACTATCAAGGGCAATAATTCAGGAAATTACAATTCAATATGCGCGAATATCGAAAGGAACTGAGATCTTTGTGTTATAAACTTACATTTCAAGTTTCAACAAAATCGGATAAAAATTTGTGACCTCTATAGGGTCCACAACCTTGATATACCATATTTTTACGCTATTTGAGAACGAATAGCGGCCATTTTGTCTGTCAATTTTGGGCCGATTTTCCGAAATTCGAACTCGGTCATCCCCTTAGGATGTAACGGTGATATAATAATACGTTTTTTTAAATCGGATAAAAATTATGACTTCTATAGGGTCCACAAGCTAAAAACGTGATTTTTCGTACAATCAGGAGCCATAATTCAGGAAGTTACGGTACGATATGCGCGAATATCGAAAGGAACCGAGATCTTTGGGTTTCAACAAAATCGGATAAAAATTGTGACCTCTATAGGGTCCACAAGCTAAAAACGTGATTTTTCGTACAAACAGGGGCCATAATCCATGAAGTTTCGATCCGATACATGCCAATATCGAAAGCAGCCGAGATCTTTTGGAGATAAACCTATATTTCAAGTTTCGTCAAAATCGGATAAGAATTGTGACCTCTAGAGTGTCCACAAACAAATTGTGGACGGACGGACAGGGGCGACGGCATAATACGTCCACATGAAAATGTGGGCGTATAAAAATATTTGAATAAAACTAATTAGGAAGATTATTGACCAAATAATATAGTGATCATGACTGTTAAACTGACAGAAAACTGACAGAGATTGCCAAGCAGTCAAAAACAGCTGTATTTTATTTATCACAAAGAGAAACATTATTTATAATGGTCAGTAATCATTATTAACATTATTAACAATCTACCAAGTAAATGTGTTTACTCGTCTCATAGTTTACAGAGATAACTCAAGATTATCACAAGTAGTAAGATATGCACCATTGCCATTATTACATATATCAATAATGTGAATAAAACAAAATAAAGTATATACATGTATATATCATCCTGTATCAAATAGCTATTTATACTTGTAAAAGTAAGTTAAATGGTATTTTTTATCACAGAAGCATGAAATTAAGCACAGAGACAGTTTGTATCATGGAAACCATTTTCAGACACAAAGCAATTTTGACCGACACAATAATAAGAAGAAACCAGCTGCTGCCAGGCAGTATACGCCCACATTTTCGAGAGATGGATAGAAAACAAGCTAAAAAGAAAGTGATTTTTCCTACAATCAAGGGCCATAATTCAGGAAATTACTATTTGATATGCGCAAATATCGAAAGAAACCAAGATCTTTGTGTTATAAACTTACATTTCAAGTTTCAACAAAATCGGATAAAAATTGTGACCTCCATAGAATCCACAACCTTGATATACCATATTTTTACACTATTTGAGAACGAAGGGCGGCCATTTTGTCTGTCAGTTTTGGGCCGATTTTCATGAAATTCGAACTCAGACAACCTTAGGGTGTAACGGTGATATAATAATATTTAAATCGGGTAAAAATTATGACCTCTATAGGGTCCACAAGCTAAAAACGCGATTTTTCGTACAATCAGGGGCCATAATTCAGGAAGTTACGGTCCGATATGCGCGAATATCGAAAGGAACCTAGATCTTCGGGTTATAAACTTACATTTCAAGTTTCAACAAAATCGGATAAAAATTGTGACCTCTATAGGATCCACAACCTTGATATACCATATTTTTACCCTATAGGGTCCACAAGATAAAAACGCGATTTTTCGTACAATCAGGGGCCACAATTCAGGAAGTTAAGGTCCGATATGCGCGAATATCAACAGTAACCGAGATCTTTGGGTTATAAACTTACATTTCAAGTTTCAACAAAATCGGATCAAAATTGTGACCTCTATAGAGTCCACAACTTTGATATACCATATTTTTACGCTATTTGAGAATGAACGGCGGCCATTTTGTCTGTCAATTTTGGGCCGATTTTCACGAAATTCGAACTCAGCTGTCCTTAGGGTGTAACGATGATATAATAATACGTTTTTTTAAATCGGATAAAAATTATGACCTCTATAGGGTCCACAAGCTAAAAACACGATTTTTCGTACAATCAGGGGCCATAATTCAGGAAGTTATGATCCGATATGCGTGAATATCGAAAGAAACAGAGATCTTTGGGTTATAAACTTACATTTCAAGTTTCATTAAAATTGGATAAAAATTGTGACCTCTATAGGGTCCAGAACCTTGATATACCATATTTTTATGCTATTTGAGAACGAAGGGCGGCCATTTTGTCTGTCAGTTTTGGGCCGATTTTCACGAAATTCGAACTCAACCATCCTTAGGGTGTAACGATGATATAATAATACGTTTTTTTAAATCGGATAAAAAATATGACTTCTATAGGGTCCACAAGCTAAAAACGCGATTTTTCGTACAATCAGGGGACATAATTCAGGAAGTTACGATCCAATATGCACAAATATCGAAAGGAACCGAGATCTTTGGGTTATAAATTTACATTTAAAGTTTCAACAAGATCGGATAAAAATTGTGACCTCTATAGGGTCCACAAGCTAAAAAGTGATTTTTCGTACAATCAGGGGCCATAATCCATGAAGTTTCGATCCGATACATGCCAATATCGAAAGCAGCCAAGATCTTATAGGGATAAATCTATATTTCAAGTTTCGTCAAAATCGGATAAGAATTGTGACCTGTAGATAGTCCACAAACAATTGTGGACGTCCGGACGGACAGGGGCGACGGCATAATACGTCCACATGAAAATGTGGGCGTATAAAAATTGTATATCTTACCATTTTATCAGCTAATCGTATAGGTAAATTACCTATAAATATTGTTCGATGATCTTTACTAGTGTTGTGTTTCGGTTTTTGTGTTTTCAATGCTACACGTCGAGCAGCACCAGTTAATTTACTCCAATGTACAGTTTCAGTTGCCTCTTCATCAATACCTTGACTATAAAAAACATAAGTCATTTTTTACAACAAACTAATTTTATATAAACAAGAAATTATCTGATTGTCCAACAGCCAAATCTTACCAAAAATCTTTTATACTTTTATACAGATTCTTGACATTTTATTCATTTCCACAATGCAGAGCTTGAATGCCAAACATTCTTGCCTTAAAACATTAAAATACCAGCCAAAATGTAACACAAAAAACTTTCAAGACACTGTTTATGAACATGACCATTTAGGTGTGCTATAATATCCCACATACATCACAATGAGCATGTCATTTTGTTTTATCAAAGTTGAAGCGATTCCTATATCAGGTTAAGAAAGGTTGAAATTATTTCAATAATATATCTCAAAATCTCAAAACCATTTACTGGTAATATGATTATATATTTAAATTTTTTTAATGAGACAAAAGACACCTAAAATGCACAAATCTCAAAACTTCACTACTGGGTATGCTTATGTACATACCATAACTTTAACTTACATATTTTCAGTGGTCTTATTTTTTTTAAAACTTTCTGGTTCACCTGCTTTGTTATTGTTTTTCCTTGCATTGGTGTCTGTCTTTAAACTAGAATCATTTTTCTTATCTTTTTTCTTTTTTAAGGGTGGATCTGGCACCTGTAAGACATACACGTACAAAATGGTCTCCACAATAATGTATGTCATTAAAATAATATCATTTTAAAAATAGGACAAATTTGTACCTAAAATAATAAGTTCTGAGGTCAATGTGCCTCAGTATATTAGTGATGATGTCGCATGAGTACAATGTAAGTGACGGGTTGAAGAGAATAATGACAACATTTGGGTGGAAAAGAATATGTATAAGAAGGTAAATAAGGTATACAATGGCAGAAGGTCAATAAAAAATTTCTTCTTTAAATTTAAACAAAAAGACTTCAAAAATTGTTCTAGATATCGTCTAAGCCTTGATGTTGGGCCATAGAGGTGAGTTGATTACAGTATAAAGGTATAAGAGGAATAACAATGTGCATGAAATCAAAAGAAAGTAATGTGAACTTTAGATGTCCATAACTTCTAGTAGGTCTGATCGATCTGAATAATTTTGGTACCAATATGTTTTTTAACAAAACTACTTATTACTGTGAACGATCTGAAAATCTATATCTGCCATTTTCGGAATATATGTCTTACACACTGATGACATATTATTGAAATCAACACATTCATAGGATGAATATTAAAAAATAAAAACCTCTAAAGACTCCTCTAATAATTTCTTCTTCGGTTTTGGTTTAACTGTAAAGAGAGCATTTAATTTAGAGTCTATTTGGGTTTTTTCTCCAGACTTGGATAACACTGCTGCCACTTGTCCAACAACATAACCTTCCATTTCTTCTACTTAATCTGTAACATATTTTGAACAAAATCTAAACATGTGATTAAAATTACATGTAGATTAGGCAGTAAGCGTGTATTACAAGATTTATCTCCCTTTACTAACTTTAACCAGATTTGGGTCCTTTCCTAATATATACCATAGTCATTGAAATGCAATGAAAATGCACCACTGATTTGACTTGACTTGCTGGAGAGTCATAATGCAGCAGAAATTTACCAACACAGTAAAATCAACAACCCACAGGCTCTGAGACATGAACAACTTTACTTTTACAGTAAAATGTTGGCACAAGAAGGTCAAAACCAAAAGTTAGTAAAGTGTGTGTCCATCTCACCATGCAACGTCACCACATAGCCTATGGAGGAGATTGTCTCCGAATGCCATAATTATAGTGTAGGTGCACTAAGTTTACAAATGAGATGCAATGGGGTTTAATGTTGCACTGCCACTGGGCTAATAAAGATGGCATATGCCAACCAGTTTTCTATGCATAAAACTAAATTTGTCACCCGAGTTTCTGACAACTATTCTTGAAATTCTAAATCAGGCAAATGTAAATGTCAAGGGGTCTTTCTATTTACGGTACATGACATGCCAATGTTGAATGTGTTTTATCCTATCCCCTATCCAACAACTAGATGTCATTCATTGCCACCACCTCAATGCCCCCCCCCCCCCCAAACACATTCTTGCACCAATGAAAACATAACCTGGAAACCAGACTGGAAAATCTCGAGAAACTTTCTAGGAAAAATCGTCTGTCCCTTGCATGATTGTAATGTTTACAATAAATAAGACACGTGTGGTGAATTCTTTTGACAACTGTAATCGAAGTCATTAGGAGTAAGGTAGTATATTTACTTACATTTGTTGAATTTGATTAAATCAACTGTATCTTGTACAAATTGTATGTGTTGTTATAAATCACAAGGCAACACCAAATAAGCTGTTGTCCGTAGAATTAGAAATTAAAATTATTAAATTGTCCTAATGCTCTTCGTTTCAATACTGTCTGTCAACATCCGGTTGTTTCAGCCAATCAATTCTGCTAATTCTCCGGACGCTATCGTCAGTCTCCGGTCTACTTTCATTTTTCTAGGTAAAACTCGACACGTGGTTTGACGCGGTTGGGATTTATTGTGTTTTGACCGGGTATTTCGGTGGGTTGATTAAGATGATAAGATATATAAACCATAGTCTATGGTAGGATGACCCGTGCACTTTACAGAAAGTTGGTCTCGACACGGCTAAATGTGCACGCTTCAGTTGCGTGTCTCGAACTGATTTCTGACTACCCCGCACTCGCTTTGAGTCGATAAATAGCCATGGCACGTGCAATTCTCTACAAATATATCAACTATTACAGCCGTAAAAAATCTATTGTTGACGATTTTGAATAGCAGTAAAATTTAGCTTCTTGGTTATTACAGCAGCTTTAGTAATTACGTTTGTTTTATTTTTTAAATTGCTTTATCATTAACTGTACCGTTAAGAGCGGCATCTTTTGGTTTAGTACAAATACTATCTCTGAATCACTTTCTTTAGCAGGAACATGATACTAGCAGTAGTTTCATTTTACTTTTACAAGTTTCTTTAAACAATTGTTGAGTTGTCTAAAGTACTTATTTCTAAATTCAATTTCTTGTTCTAGCTTTCTGTTATGTTTCGTAAAAAAGTAGTCTTGATTATCCCGACCTGTCAATCAGACGTAGAATGGTCGATAGACTGGTTAAGCGAGACTAATTTCAAAACAAGGGCACGTAACCTATCTTTTACTCAAAAGTGTCTGGATGTTATGGACGCAACTTGGAACCAGTTTTCAGTCTATTATTTATAGATGATTAATGGTCATAGCTTATTAAGTACAACATGATCGTTTATTTAGTGACTATAATTGTGTGAAACTGATTTGAGGCTTGGCATATATATAAATATTATGGCGTAATTGTCAAGATATTTGGAGATATTTATTTATTGAAAGCATGGCATCGTTACAGAGAGTAGACCGCGCATCACCGGAAACAACATATTCATACATAGTACACGTGCGTATAATTTGCAGTTATAAAACTACGGAAGATAATTGTTGACATATGATTAGTGAAGGCACCACAGGATTAACACTTGTTTACATGTTATCATTTCATTATATCCTCATCAATTTATTTCTCAGTTCTGTATCAATATCCAATATATTATTCAATATCAGAATCGTTGTATCTTAGGTGGGGGGTGGGGGGTAAATAAGATCCAAAAGAGGCCCGGGGACGTGCACCGATTAATTTGAAAATAGATAATATTATATTTGGCCAGTTATACATATGCACAAAAAATGCACCCATTCAAGTTTCAACAATTACTGTTGCATGTTCGTACCACCGAAGTTATAATGAAATAAGCAGTTATACTCAGCATTCACCTTTATAAGTTTATAATATAAAAATAGAAAAGGTATATTTGTAGATTTATCAAACTCTAGCGAGCTAACAGAGCTCCGCTCGGCTTTCGTTTCTTGCTTTCGTAAATATTAGAGGTGTTTTCACTCATCAACGAGACCATGGACTGACGCCAGTCCGACAAGGCCTTATATTGAGCAAACATATCAAAAAGGAAATAAGAATGGTGCATACTGTTTTGTGGTAACAAATAAAAGTTTTTAGTTGACGTTGCTCATGGTTTCATTCCTCGGACATTTCACTAGAAAAGACCCAAGACTCTCATTAGCAAAGAGGAAGGACTTCCCTAACTAACATCAGACAGGTAACCGGCTGGTAAGCTATGATCATTATTTTTTTCTTGTTTTTTGAGGAGGTTTTTTTTTTAGTAGAAAGGCTATTTTGTGTTTATTCCATTTCGGTCTGCGAAAAGTATAGATGATTTTATATTATTATAAGTTGTTTATGGTGATTTAATCATGGAATAAACAAATTATCCAGATTTTTTTTTTTTTTTTTTTTGTGGAGCGGGGTGGGGGGGGGGGGGGGTATCTATTTGATTGCCTTACCCTACTATCCAATAATTTTTCTCATCTCAGTTTCCCCATCTAATAAAATTAATCCTAAAAATACTCTTTTAGAACGGTGTCAACATCAAGGAATTTGTTATGACAAAAAATAATTATTTGCAACCCCATTATAGGAGCTAATAAATCTATATTCTTTGGCACCTAGAAATGGACACAAATGGGTCTAAACGCATATAATATTGTAATATGAATCTATATAAACTGATTTACATTCAAACGTTTCTGGTTTTACTGTAATTTCTAATCAATTATGTTTGGCGAAATATGCGAAGAGTCCAAATTGATTGACAGTCTTTGGCGTCTGGTTTATCCAGTCTACACCGGTAGTGTTCTCCTGTGGGTATGTTTAGCCTCGTTAATCGAGTCGCTTCATTATAAATGGCGCTCGAAAGAATTCTGGCTCGCGATTAGCGTGGCAATGTTAAAATTTTCCCTTTGTCTTAAATATTGAATATCAGAAGCCTATCTTTTCACCCTAAGATAACAACATCAATGTTGATTTAAACTGACCAATAAGTCATGTTTGCAATGTCGAAGACTGTGGGTGATATTGAGTTAAATGCTTACCCCCTTTAACATAATAAGCAACGAAATTGGATAATTAGATCACAGAGCAGACGGAAATCGGCTAGATACGATTGATAGAAAAAGCTAGATGTTGGTGGTCAGTAATAAATCTGTGACAATCGCTTCATTTCCACCAGCGGTTAATGACTGGGACAGCTCTTTCTGAACCGCATATGCGGGGACTAGGAGCCCCGCTCCGAACCTTCCGAAAACGCGCCTTCTGAAAAAGTGCCCTCATATCTGAAAAAGTACCCTCGGATTTCGAAAGAGTTACCTCAAATACTTATGGAAATGCCCGTGTCATGTTCCCACTGCCCTAATCACAATGGTGTGCCCTCAGTGTCATTGATCGATGCTTTGGGACAAGATAACTTTGATTCTAAATGATGGAAAATGACAATGAATCTTAGTGTATAGTTTCACTACCATGTACTTTAAAACCTTGACTGAGTTCGATCGTGAACATTTTCTGCTTAGACTAAGTATGGATGATCAGCTTGATTGCTCGATACTTTTCAAAAAGATAAATTTAATATGCAATTAATTAATATGTGTCATCTATTTAGACTAAGTATCGGTAATTGGCTTGATTGCTCGAGACTTTTGAAAAAGATAAATTATGAGCAATTAATTAATATTATCATTGTTTTATTATTGGTCTGTTTTATTAATGTCGCTGAATAGATTTAGGAAAATGAAAACAAAATCGGAAATTTCAACACGAGCGAAGGGAACATCTTTTAGTTCTGACATTCACTCTGTTACCAGCATACTTCCTTGGCCAGGCTTAAAGTAAACTTTTTACGTCGATGCCGCCACGGGCGGTGACTATATCATTTTCATTTCTTCGGGATTTATTCATAATCCCTCAGCGCAGTATCAATGTATGGTATGTCATGGCTCAGATTTATGTCAAATCGATTCTGTACCACAGAAGCACACAAATTTCCCGGCGCTGCCCCCTCCCCCACTGAAGTGCCCTAAGTTTGGCCAGCACGCCTCTGATAGTGTTGTATATGGAATAGATGGGCTCTTTAGGATGTTGTTTGTGATGAGCATTTTATGGAACGAGTATGGTGGATGGTGATGAGACTGTGATCCTTGAATAGTTTATTTGTGTAGTAACGGGTCCTGTTCCCGAGGCACGTGCTTACAGATTCTGGAACAAATGATCGTGGTGACACTATAGCCAATAACCAGTCAAAGATATCTTGCCTTCGCTGTGAGTTATCGGCCATTTGTCCCGGATTCTTGGCTTTGCCTTCGCAAAGAGAGTACTTACTGATTTGTCAATGAAAGATTGTGCTGTTTTCTAACAACTGATTTACATGTCTAATTGGTCGTTTTATGGGCTAATGAAGAACACAATGTGATACGAGGGACATCAATGTAAGCCCTTAAGACAATGATGTGAGATGACCTTTGTCAGCTTCAACTGACACTGTACCGCCCCCGCGGAAATTGTTCGTCGTGCGTAAATGCGGAATGTGACCCCCCCCCCCCCACACACACACATAAACATATACCCACCCACAAAGGGTGGGACGATTTACCCAATACTACACAATACCACCCCAATATCACCTCAATATCACCACATACTACCCAATACTACAACATAATGATGCAAAAGAGACAATCTAATTAAAATATAGATCTATATTTTGTTTCGTTTTTTATACTTTCGATGGCCTCCACTACATGTAGATCTAACAAGTTATAGTGGAAGTTCACGTACTACGACGTCAGGTAGCAAGCAAGCGACATTTGACCCGATTACGTCAGTCATTCGATTAACCAATTATTTTTTATCTACTTTAGCTTTGTTTTGATTTCTATTGCCGTTAATGTCTACCCACAGTTCCGCGCAAAAAGGTCAAACACTCGATTCGACAGACTATTTGATTGGTTGACCCCTCATTTCAAGCAGAACACGAGTTAAATAACAACGCTTCCAGATCCAAGTGTAGTAAAGACAAGTAAAATCGAAATTTTGAACTATAAAAACGAAACGAAATTGGATCTGTGTTTTAATCAGATTTCAAAAGAGACATATCATTTGATTTTTTTTTCAAAAATAGAGAGTTATATCGCGGGATATGTACTTCAAATGCGATACCGATGTCTGCTGTTGCATCTGCCTCCCTATACCACACCAAACAAGTCAATAATAACCCAATACTACCAAATACTCATCAAATACTACCCAATATTATCAAATAACAACCTAATATTGTCAAATAACAGCACATTGGTATAATTACTGCAACGAATATTCGATATTTTGCAGAAAATTGAAATGCTTACTCAGTTATCTCCCTTTACAACCGGTAAATAGATTTTAGATTGCTACTCGGTTTAATCATCTTCTTTGGCTTTGTAGTTGGTTTCCAAGACGACAAACTTAAAATAAGAAAAACAAGTATGACGATATACCATATTTTATTCCCAAAATCACCCATCTGTCTCTTATCACTTGATAGGGCCGTCAGTCAAACAAGTTGTGTTTTCTCTGGTCCCCTGGTTTCATCTCACTGTTAAACACCTCTTCGCGCAAGTAAGTTAATGAAATAATATTGAACTTAGTGTCGACTGTTTGTATTTATTTTAAAATTAATGCTTTAACAAAACAATTGCATAATGTTTATATTCATTTTTTCGTGTCAACTATTAAGTGATTGCGTATTTACTTACTGCACGATATTTTATTTTAAAATTAACGAAATTGCACATGTTTCTTTCCAGTGTGTAATTCTCGACGCGACACTTCTCAGTTCATCAAAACTATCATTTGTGGCCTGTTACAACTCTGTCGGTTTCTTTGATAATATAAATAAACCAGAACTTGATTACCCAATCAACAATCTTAACCCCGTTGATTAATTAAGTCAGTTGGAATGTATACACGAGTAGAGCATTACACATTTGTAATAAACATGAGCATTGTAATAAACATGTACAATTTCGTTAATTTTAAACTAAAACATCGTCCATTAAGTATATATGCAATAACTTAATCGTTGACATGAAAAAATAAACATATGCATATGTGGGAGGAAACTGGTGACCGTCTATTCATTTAGGTGGTAACGACATCGCCGCGACATCGTCACCTGTGGATATATACCGTAATACTTAGAATTTGTTCAATATTGACAATATTCGAAGAATCGGTGAAATTTTGACAAGAGGGGATTTTTCAAAGGCGCCTGGTTTGGAACTGAAAGACAAAGAAGTCGCGTTAATAAGTCATTAAAAGACAGATATAAAGATAAATTCGCGTGCTTTCCTGACATACCCAAATGATTTTTTACAGGACCGCGTGCACTTGTAGACAGCGTGTTATCTTACTAAAATCACCAAAATGAAGAAATAATTATAGTATAAGAAAACTTTTGAGTAGGCACCGAGACCGTTATTTGAACCTCTAATACTCTTTTATTTGGATGTTTGGCTGTTTATTTTATAAACTGATTTTATTTTAATGCATTTTTAAATCTTTGTTAACTTCTTTTAAGTATAAGAAGACTTTTGAGTAGGCCACGCGACCGTTAAATGAACATTTTTAAATCAACCTCTAAAATAATCTTTTATCCGGATGTTTGGCTCTTTATTTTATAAACTAATTTTATTTTAACTTCTTTTAAAACTCTTTTTATTTTATGTTATGTTATATATTGATATGCATTGAACGTGTAATATTGTATGAATACACTATAGCGGAGGCATCTATAATAACCTGTTTTCCTTATTTTAACTTCGTCGTCTTGGAAATGAACTGCAAAGCCCAACAAGATGATTAATCTGAGTAGCAATCTAAAATCTATGTGTAGGTTATAAAGGGAGATAACTGCGTAAAAATTTCAATTTCTGTAAATCATCGAATATTCGTTGCAATTATTATACTGATGTGCTGTTAATTGACGATATTAGGTTTGTATTTTATAATATTTGGTAGTATTTGATAAATATTTGGTAGTATTGGGTTACTATTTGCTTGATTTGGGTGATATAGGGAGGCAAATGAAACAGCCAGACATCGGTAATCACATTTTAAGTACATTTCTCACGATATATCTCACTATTTTTGAAAAAAAAACCCAAGTAATATGCCCATTTGGCACCATTATGTTGTAGTATTGGGTAGTATGTGGTGATATTGGAGTGGTATTGTGGAAGTATTGGGTAGTATTGGGTAAATCGTCCCCCCCCCCCACACATACATACACACATAATATACAGAAGGTCCGAGGCCCAAGGACACCCACCTGGTTAGTCCGGCCCTAGTTAATGTAGCAGTAACTCTGTAAATGACAGGTTTTGAATTTGGATAAGCTGCCTCCTAATTTTTTAGCCGAAGAAATCCAGTAAGTTTAGAACGAAAATCCCGAACAGGCATATTTTGAATACGCAGAGTTGAATTTCTCCCGTAAAGCCCCAAAATAAGGGAATAGAGGTTAAATATGACCTTTAAAACAATACACAATTACCTTTATTTTTAAAAAAATATTTTGATCCATTCAAATCAGACACAATCCTTCAATATTTATATGCAACTTCGCTTTGGTTAGAATAGTAATTATATTCTATATGTTATTTAGTTTAATTCATATTTAATTAGACAAATAAAATACACGTACTAATAATCTTTTCTTACAAGTCAATTCATTATGAAGGTTTCTTTTTTTAAATAATACATATAGATATACATGTATGTGAACGATATGCTCGTTGTGCGTTTACATTTTGTAAAGTAATTAATTATGTATATTGTATATATATATATAACGATATGCTCGTTGTGCGTTTACGTTTTGTAAAGTAATTTATTATGTATATATATATATATATATATATATATATATATATATATAATGGAACTGGCTTTAACGTCTTGTCGACACTTTAATCGCGTCATCATGCGACGGAGAGAATATTACCCGGATATTCGTTTTCTATTGGGGAAGTTTTCCACGGCAAGCTTCGCTACAGCGTACCCTTATTTCGATTTCCAACTGTCAGATGATCATTGACCTGCTGACATTTTGTCTCATGAAAGGGACCGCCAGGCATGCAAATCGCGAAGAAATGTCTTGGCTTAAATCGGATTTAAAATGAAATGAAATGAAATGGTGTTTATCATTCTACTGTTCTGCTCCGGATTTAAAGTAAAATTATATACATAATATATTTGAAATATGGTACTCACTAGGCCGAATTGAAAGGAGTAGAGAAGGAAGCGATGTAAATAAACAAGAAATGCCACACTCGCTAGAATTAATAATAATGTATGAAGAAGAAGAGGAAAATTATAAATAGATAAACAAAATACAACCCTAAATCAAATATTTATATTAATAAGAAAAGTCTCCAGCCGAGTATTTCCTAAAGACAATAAATCTTAGCTGTTTTTTCAACCGAGTCCAATACACAAGGATTAAATTCAAGCTAAGTTCCTATATGCAGACCTTGACATCTGATGTCTGTAGATACACTTTCCTATTCGGATCTTGCCGGAATACGGACATTCAACATCCTAATTTGTAAATAGCAACATAAAGTATTCTTAAGGTTTGAATGCTTGAATGATATTTTGTGACGATAATCTTCACTGCCACGTTAAATAATGAAAATAAAATGTGCTTTAAATAATACATTAGTGTCTTTGGACATAGCCCCACCCCATTGCATAATGGCCCCATTTTATTAATCTTCAGGTTGTTCTGCCACATTGTTCACATTGCCCCCCATTTCATAATCTGATTGTCTATGTTTTGTTTCCGAATTATATAAAGTTTCCATCGAAATATGTCTTTGTATCTGTTTGTTTATATGTCGTCGTAATAATGAAATCAGGAAAATTATGGTATGGAGAACTGGCACTGCTACTAGGACACTGGTAACTCCTATTATTATTGCTAAAGTAGGCTTGTTTTTCCAGTCCAATACCGGATATATGTACGGTTGGCCTTTCGCATTGGTTCCACCGAGGCTTTGATATACAGCATTAAATACTACATACACCAATCCGTATAACATTGGTTGATAAAAATGATAAAGTCTAGTTGGTAAACGGGTAACTACTAAATTTAAAGCTACGTTAATTGAATTGACTGCGTGGACATTAAACGTCGTAGCGCTTAATTTGTTGATAGCTGAAAAAAATAAATAAAAACGCATTACCAAAGTAATATATTTTTATAAATTTAGTGATTTTCACAAATTGTATTTTGAATTCTAGTAAGTACAATCACAGTTTTATTTGTTATTTCTGCACAGAAAGTTACAATGTTAAGACGCAGAATTCGTAGGGAGAGACATCGTAAAGTTTACTGTCCATTTAATAGAAACTAGGTCATGTCATAACCAACACTGTACATGTACATCGTTATTTCAAATGTTCGCTTGCGCTCGGGCTTGTAGGAGTTGGGTGGGGGGGGGGGGTAAAAAACCCCAACGGGGTTAAACAGCCAACCAAACACGTTGTCAAGCATGAATCGATATAATTCCTGATGACCGATAGTACCCGTGTTAGACCACATGGCCACACACCCCTTCACCCGGACCTTGTTAAATAGAATTCATGGCAAAACCGAAGAGACTGAATTTTATGATTTAATTTTTGAGAAAAAAATCGTTGTTCGTTAAACAATATTACGTAATAGATAAAAGGGCAATGTTGAAATATATTGTGCTCAGCTAAAATTCGATTTTACTGTACGTGTAAACAGAATATAACATTTGGTCGTCGTATACATTCAAGTAATGAAACAATGGGTTTTAGATTATTCACCAAAATATGATCACGGACCTGGTGTCAGAAAACATTTTAGTGTTTAAAGAATTAATTTGTTTCATTCTATCTATACTCAAACTGCTGTATTACGACTAAACCATTTAAGATACGAGAAAGTGTAAAATTTATTTCAAGAAGAGAACCACTATCTTTGGCTAACTTGAATATAGTTTTATCAAATATGAGACGTGAATTATAAAGAAGAAATATATTATGCCCACCTGGAAATAATAAACTCCAGAAAAGAATTGTAACAACAAGACAACCAGTTGCTGATATATTAAATAGAACCCACATCAACTTCATATACCATGGCATTTCACCAACACCTACAAACAATCAGAACAGCTGTTCATTTACAAATACTGTTAAACTGTTCCAGTGACATTTAGTAACTGGACTGGAAATACACAGGGCACAATTTCATGGGATCTATTCACTGGTAATTACGGAGCAACAGAAATAAACAGTAGTTAAAATTAGTAAACAAATTACTTCTGCTTAATATTTTGAAACTGCAATTTAATTGTCGAGCTCATCACTTATTGAGAAAAAAATAACCACATCGGAAATGAAGTGAATTGGGGTTTAACATCCTACTTAAACACATCAGATCGGCCCGATTTAACGCTTGATTTTGATCGAAATTAATCAGGTTTTGTCCCCTGAAGATTTGGTTCCAGTTTGATCAATTATATAGGATACAAAACAGTATCGGCATGCATTTCTGCCTATTCTTCCTGGAATTCCACCTCTCAATGTATCTAGTATGTGTGGCGTGTGTTGGTGCCCGGGTGCCGCAGGGTTGAGATCCCATCTTATAAACCAGGTAACAACAAATGTGACAAAGTGCTCTATAACTTTCGGCATAGAACTAATTGACCCCCAGTTGGCTTTTGATAATATATGATATTGACTTTTCAATTCTCTATATATGTCTGTTAGACACTGTTTGTGTTATAATTAAACATTAATTAATCCTATATGTTCTTTACAAGCTAGCCTACATATATATGATCTGCAGGCGCGGATCCAGGGGGCCGTGCCCCCCCCCTCCTCAGCCCCAGTGAGACTGGTCATCACTGTTCAGACCAGCACCAGCAGCCAGCAATGGGATTCCCAGATTTGCGTTTTTGTTTAATGAGGCTGCGACGAAGACTCTGGGGACTACACCAAACCACTAATGCATGCGACACTCTGATGATTACCCATTGCTCCAATGTATGCCCCCCCGTCCCCCGACAAAATCCTGGATCCGGGCCTGATCTGTGTACAACCTCGGCTTTACCTCAATCTGACTTTTCGGACAGACGAGTAAAGTGAACACAAGAATTATTATTTCATAGCAGAAAAACGCATTAATTTGTGGCGGTTAAATTTTCAAATTTTTCTCGGGGAGCGCTAGGTCCCCGTACCCAGCGACGTTTGATTGGTTATTTGGGATTTGGGATTAAGGTAGGCTGTATTGGACCACATTGAAGTTGCTGTATTCACAAGCTGGAATAGCAAGAAAACATATTTGCGGCAGATAAATATTAACATTCATCGGCGTACGCCTATACTTCACGAAACCATTTTATGTATAAATTCATCTGATATTTCTAGATTTATCTTGGTAAGAAGACACCTATGAAAGACCCCTCACAAAAGGCTTCTGGTTATTAAAAAATTTAAAAGTCACGTCATGATCCAAATGTTTAAATAATGAATTACACCAACCATATATTTATCGTATACAATTTCACACCGTCTTCTTTATATTATATATTATTATTGGCATACTTATTCGACAAGGAAGTTACTCAAATATCTATTTTATTTTTACACATGTGACCGCGTTAGGGGCATACAAGGTCTGACTATTCATTTTAATCGTGCAAACCAGTCAGGTGTTACGATATAAAAAGATGTTAATACAATCGTCTTAATGCTAGGTTCCTGTTATCACGGTTCGCGCCAGGAAAACACGTTTGCGGCCGTCAAATTTGCCAAATTTCCTCTTTTTTTTCTCTGGGGAGGGGGGAAGGACGGGTTCCTACACGATAAGCTCCGCTCCTTCGCCTCTCTCAGGCTACCAGGTCCCGTCGACTGTAACCCGAAATTTAGGTCTATAATTTTATTTGACCCCAATCAAGGGTCGAATAGATGACTATTAACATGTTTATATTTAATTACCTTTGAGTATATCCTTTCTACGAGTATGAACATAAATAACTGTGAAGAGCTGAACGAGGTTATCCAACGTTAACACAAGATACGTCCAGTTGGTTAAATACACAAACCATTTAATACGGTTGGCTTCTGAACTGGCCTGCTGGTAATTTAGACTTCCATTAGCAACTATCCAACAAGTATGGTACAAAGCCCAGAATATACGCCAGCCAAAATAAAAGGCATCATTGCCCCACTGTAAAAATACAACAAATACATACATGTATCAATTTATATTATTTGCCATCCCAGTTTCATTGTGGGCTTTCATTGACTACGCAGATCAAACAAAATTATTGTTTTATAAATGCAAGGGTTTAAATAAGCAACTTTAATTGAACATTGTCTTTGGAATACTGCTTTACAAAGGTCATGTAGATTGTGGGAGCATTGATTATCAAACTGTGTAGGCCTATGGGGGAGGGGGGGGGGGGGCGCAAGCAAAATCCTGTTCAGGTATTTCTTTCAATGTCACTTTATACTTTCAAAACTATTTAATGTCTAGCAACAAATCATCTTTAAACGTTCAAACCAGAACCAATTTCGTGATAGATTAAAAACTATAAATACAAATTCAGCTGTTATTCTTCAACAATAAATACCAAAACTGACACAGTTATATGGGACAACAATCACTGGTTTATTATACACAAGCACAACGTTTCGATAAGTATTCTCTTATCGTTATAACTGTGTCAGTTTTGTTATGTTTCCGATTGCTAAATGCCACTAAATGATTACAACAATAAATACGCTGTGTAGATTATGTGTAATTGGGCATTATGAATACCATACACGAAGCCGTGAAGGAAACCTATTTTATGACATCTGCATAACGACAAACTATTATTTTACATTTTCTCGTTTTATAAATATGTCAATATTGCTACCATGACCAAACACATTCCTCCCTGAATCGAGAAAAATAGTCGTTTGTCTGACAAGAATAGGATTATAATTAGTAGCGCATGCGCATTTGTAGATCCAACGAAATCGTGTCCCTTTTAGAAACACAATGTAGGACGGGTTGCCTTTTTTAGATTTCAGTCATATCCGGAGTTTGGGTGTGCTCATACAAGACGATTGCGCAAAAACTGCCAACCCAAAACAATGGTGCAGATTAACGTAGTCGATTACATTAAGTGGATTAATGAATTAACATGTTAGGTTTAATTATCCAAATACAATTTCAAAATTTTTGGGTAATTCATAAACATTAAACATGAAAATATAATAAAACTATCGCCATTTTCTCTACTCACCTGCGGCTTGACAAAAACACGTGGCTCGGGATGATTCAAGTCGAAATTTTTTAAACGTAATTCCTCTGGCATAGCCATACTGAACACCTCGTAACGTGTGGTAAGATATGGTGTGAAACAATAGGTAGGTAAACGTCTTGGACAGATTAAGATGTCTAGAAAGTTAGATAACGAAACAATCTTATCGTAAATACATCGATTACTACAGTCCACGAGTAAATTACTACTTGTCTCACAGATATAGTCGTCACTGATTATATCAATCAAAAAAAACAACAGTTTATCATCAGCTCTAGAAGTGCTTTAATATCTTCATAGTAGTTTTATCTTGTTTTGTTGTGAAATAATCGCCTGATGAATTTCGTCTAATAAAAAGAAGGCGGACCACATCTGCCTTTGGATTAAAGGGCCAATCCCGATTATATTTTGGGGAATAAAACTGCTTAATTTTGTGTTAAAATCCTCTACCTTAGGGCCGAGCAACGAACTTAATACGTGAAACGTTTTCAAACAACCTAAACCCACCAGTTTTCATCTGGAAATGGAAACCGGTGTCCCAAGGGATATTATAACGTGTAGGTGAAATTTAACTTTCGTTATCAAGTACAGTTCGCGGGTCATGCACTGTATAGACCTATAAAGGAGCGGCAATAGATTACCAGGTCACCCAACGAAAAAATTGACCCAAGATCTTAAAAGGGTGACGTGTCCGGATAAGCGGTGTTGAAGTTCACGTCCAAACGACTCAATAGTTTGAGCTGAAATTTTGAGACAAGGTAAATACCCCACTCCTCTGTATTTTGTCGCTTAAATTTCATACGTACACGGACTTTTATATCTGAGACCCTGTTAATATCGGGATGGTCCCTTTAACAAAGACCCGGCCAGTAGAGTTTATTATATTTATGGGCAAATGTGTCACCCCTTTAATATTTAGGATTAATGAAGAGATGATCAGCTTAGTCACCACACTACTGAATATACCACTCCTGTTTTAGGTCTACGGATATTCATGTTTACTTTAAAAATACTTTCCCACAAAACTATTTATCGGGTATGGGGTTTTTTCCAATAAAAGTGTGGCAATTTTGGTATATATGAAAGTAGAAACATCCAATCTTTTTAGAAAAATACTATATTCGCTGAAAAACACCCATGGGGCGCATACGGGACAAGAACAAAAACCCGACGATTAGGGATGTCTGCTGGAGTGTCGTCAAGGTTTGCACGCGACGATTGTCTGAACCCTCAGCATTAGTGAGCGCTTGATGTATATGTTGATAAACGTGATCTTGAGCTTAAGCGTACACCAGTATTTGAGATAAAAAAAAAACCCACGGAAAAAGACGTGAGCAGTGGATAATCCCAGAATTTAAATAGGAGAGAGAGAAATGGGGTTTAACGTCCACTCGACACAAACTAGGTCTCTTCGGGATAAAAATATGGTTGGACAGGTGACCCTACTGCTTGTCACGTACAACCCGAGAATCGAAACGACGCCAGTTGACTCAAAATTTAATTAGGCTTTGATATGTATGATAAATAGACAGAGATTAAAGACAGCATCGTCTTCTATATTATGCAATGAATTCTCCGGCTTTGCACCCGTTGCTAAGTAGCGCGTCAGCCAAGTCTCGTGACACAAACATGATCTCTTTTTAATAGATTTTTTATAGCAGGGATATTCCCTCTCGAATACAATGTTTTGAGAAGGATTTGAAGCAAAATTTTGATAAATTAATTAGTTTGAATATGTTTTAGGCCCAATATATCATCAAATCACCCAGTTTGTACGCGGGAATGAATCTTTAAAGTTGCCTCCCCGTGTACAAACTGGGTGATTTGATGATATATTTAGACTACATATATTTTATCAAAAATTGTCTCTACCTTCCATATATTCCAAAATTGCCACGACGACTTATCGTATGCCACCTTGATCTCAGACCCTTCCACTGAACTTGACCTTGTAGATTGATCGCGTAAATCATTCATTTCCGTCCTATAGTCAGGATTTTTTTTCGTATGCAAATGAGGTTCGTCATAGATTCCATATAAAGTATTTGTGCTATTAGGGAAATTTTGCCCTTACAGCGGCACCACGGTCTGCTCTTATATCGAATTCCAACTGTCAAGGGATCTTTTACGTGTACGCCAATGTATACACAGAACCTCGGTTTTTCGCCCCGTCCGAACGACTAGACAACTGTCCTTGCCACTGACAAGGGGGGGGGGGGCACGCCGGAAAATCTGGATGAACTTTCTCGGCCAATGCAGGGATCAAACACCCGACCTCCAGGCTAGCGAGCCAGCGTCTTACCCACTTAGCCACCGTGCCCCCCCCCCCATGCTAAGTTCTAATATACCTCTGTCTATGCTGCAAAATGCAGAATGGAGAATTGTAATGTGCAAAATAACTATTATACTCTATTTGTATTATCGGAAAGTGTATTCTGTATTTTAACACTGACATTGGTTTTGTGGAGCAATGAAAATTGAAAATTGTAAAACTACGTATTTTGAACTGCTGACATATTATGCTTTTTGCACCGTGAACATAGGAGTAATATTGGCAACGTTATTCTTCCATACTATGCAAGTAGTCTTGTTCCGCGTGTTTACACCCCACTTTTAGCCACCCCCATTCGATGTAAAATTGACTTGCTTATACTATCCATACGATTACTAAAGGAGGGTGGGGAGACAGCTTGGACAATTAGATTTACAATCGCTAAGTAACGACGATGTCAAAGTTACTTTAGATAGCGAAGAGGTCCCAGTTTTCACTGTGTCACCGAAACATAAAGGTTCGTTTAAGTTTGCAAATCATTGTACATAAAATTCTAGTACTCCCTTGAAAGCAGCAACGTTGTTAGGGTGCCCCATGCAGCCAAAATTTTCCCCACTGAAAGTTGAACTCGACACGGCGAATATGCACGCTTCAGTGGCGTGTCTCGAAGTGATTTCTGGCTAGTCACGCGGTGCGATAACACTCAACACAAGAATCTGTGAGTCTATAAATAGTCATGGCACGTGAAATTCTCTACACATCTATCAACTATTACAGTCATAAAAAATCTGTTGTTGACGATTCTGAATAGCCGTAATATTTAGTTTTTTGGTTATTACAGCAGCTTTATAAATAACGTTCGTTTTATTATTTTAAATTGCTTTATCATTAACTATACCGTTAGTAGCGGCATATTTAGCGGTGGTTGAGGGCGATTATTTCACCAAACCAAACTATATTTAGATACAAACAATATCTGTTCAGACATGGGGGGGGGGGGGGGTATTTTTTTGGTTTTCGAAAACAAATTATCGAATTCTACCCACAAAACACGAAATTAACCCCCATAAAAAAACTAGGTAATATTCAGTTTAATTCTTTAGTCGTGTTTCTGGCTGCACAGGCACAAAATACTGTACATTCTAAGCCATCCGTAGTGCAGCTACCACATGGTAGGGTGGCCCATGTACTCTACAGAAATAAAGTCCACTGCTGATCGTTCGAGACTACCACTGAAGCGTACACATTCGCCGTGCCGAGACCAACTTTCTGACAGTATGATACTATAAATAGCCATGGCACGTGCAATTCTCTACAAATCTATCAACTATTACAGCCGTAAAAAATTTATTGTTGACGATTTTGAATAGCAGTGAAATTAAGCTTCTTGGTTATTACAGCAGATTTAGAAATTACGTTCGTTTCATTTTTTAAATCGCTTTATCATTAACTGTACCGTTAAGAGCGGCATCTTTTGGTTTAGTACAAATAATATCTCTGAATCACTCGGGTTAGACAGGAACATGATACTAGCAGTAGTTTCATTTTACTTTTACAAGGTTCTTAAAACGATTGTTGAGCTACCTAACGTGCTTATTTCTAAATTCAATTTCTTGTTCTAGCTTTCTGTTATGTTTCGTAAAAAAGTAGTCTTGATTATCCCGACCTGTCAATCAGACGTAGAATGGTCGATAGACTGGTTAAGCGAGACTGATTTCAAAACAAGGGCACGTAACCTATCTTTTACTCAAAAGTGTCTGGATGTTATGGACGACAATTGGAACCAGTTTTCAGTCTATAATTTGTAGATGATTAATGGTCATAGCTTATTAAGTACAACATGATCGTTTATTTAGTGACTATAATTGTGTGAAACTGATTTGAGGCTTGGCATATATATCAATAATGTGGCGTAATTGTCGAGATATATGGAGATATATGGAGATATTTATTTATGGTGGGTCACCCTACACATGGGGTGTCACTCTTGCATCCGCATCAGTCTGATGAGCCGCATGACAGACTCCGGAGTCAGTTAATCGGCTTTAACGTTCTCAACTTAATGTCCTTCATCCAGCAATAGAGTTCTGGGGAAAGTTTTGGCGGATTACGATCTTCCAGTGAACGCCACACAATAGCTTGGGGATGAAATATTTTTACGTTCCTTGCAAATGCATTATTCGTTGGAGCAAGTCTACATGGTTTAGATGGGGATGATGAAGATACATTTCCAGTTTTGGATCCCCATACCCTCCAGCGTGTTTCAGACATCGATTTGCAAAAGCTCTGTTTGGTTATAATTTTGATAAAAATAAATATATCACATAACAAAAGACCGATACCCGAGTTTAAAAAACAATAGCTATTGGTGAAGCGAAATTGTGCACCGTATTTATGAAGCATTTAAAATACCCCGCTTAACACGTCGACACATTTCTATACCGCAGAACTTTAATCTGATAAAAGGCCAAATAAAGATTGGCTTATGAATGGGGCATGGATCGAGTATAAAGTTATAGATATAAGTGATAACCACATGGATGTAAGAAATGTAACGAATTAATTAAAGGGAAGCAGGCTGTTCCACGGAAAAATGGTACATACTCTTTACCATTGGGCGTAACTCCAAGACAAGTAATAATAATATTAGTTACCGATTGTTCGCGTACACTTGCTGTTTGAATCACCATACTTTTTCAATATTATTTTATTATCATCAACATGAGATGTATATACAGCGTAGATGTGTTTAAGAAAGAAAAATTATATTTTGAATTATTTATAAAATCAAATATCGTTAACTTCTAAACGAAATATTGATACTTAGCCTATGTCTCATTCAAGTGTGTTTTCAGAAGTTTATTTCTTTCATCATCTAGTTCAACGGAACAATGTGCACTCCTAAAATTTAATTCAATTGGTGGCATACATGTACCTTAATGTGGAATGGAAGTCTTGATAAAACAAGGTGCTGTGTGAAATAAATTTGACACAATTGTGTGTAATTTCGCAATGCTTTAATAAAAAATTGTGTACAATTGACACAATCTTGGGTTGGTTTTTTTTAAACACACTGGTCAAAAAGCACACTTTAAGGGTAATGAGCCATAATTTGTATAAGAAAATTAATTAAGGAATAAACTAATTGATTAATTTATTCAAGAATAAACAAAATGTTTAATTTATTCAGGAATTAATTAAATATTTAATTTATTCTGGAATTAATTAAATATTTAATTTATTCAGGAATTAATTAAATATTTAATTTATTCAGGAATTAATTAAATATTTAATTTATTCAGGAATTAACTGAATATTTAATTTATTCAAGAATTAACTGAATATTTAATATATTTAGAAATTAATTAAATAGCTAAATATCTCATTCATTTAGGAATGGCTAAAACTTTTTAATTTATTAGTTTGTTTACTAATGAACCATAAATAATTGATTTATTAGGTAACTATAAACAATTATTTTACTGAGGAACTATACACAATTTGTTTATTCTGGGATTAATTATGTATGTTGCTTATTATTAAACGTGCATTCTGCAAGAGCAAAATCTGCTTATTACAAGTCTTTCTTTAGGCCTGAAATGTTATCTAAATTATCAATTAGACATTAATTAACTTATCCAGACCATAATAAACTCTCGATGTCAAGGCTAGCCTTCGGTGTAGGCTGGATTAGATTCCTATATGCCGCTAACGGCCAAAGATAATTAAATCAGAAAAAGTGGATAATCGAGACTATGCTGTTTGTATTAATGATTTTAGTAATGATGACCGAGACTATGCAAAAATTTCACCCGCTTCTTTTTCGGCTCATAGTGGATCAATTTGACTGAAATTTTCAGCAAATTACCTTTACACTATCTAGTTTTCAACTATTATAGCGAGAAATGCCATCTCTTTATCTTATTTCCCATAATGTATCTTTAATTATTTATAGAATTATTTAAATGATTGATTTTTTTTTCTGGAACTAATTAATTAAATAAAATTTTTTCTGGAATTAATTAATTAAATAATTACCCTTTTCTGCAATTAAATAATTACCTTTTCTGGAATTAATTAATTTAATAATAATAAATTTATTCTGGAATCAATCAAATAATTAATTTATTCTGGAATTAATTAAATAAGTAATTTAATCTGGAATTAATTAAATAATTAATTTATTCTGGAATTAGTTAAATATTAATTTATTCTTGAATTAATTAGATATTAGTTTATTCTGGAATTAATTAGATATTAATTTATTCTGGAATTAATTAGATATTAATTTATTCTGGAATTAATTAGATATTAATTTATTCTGGAATTAATTAGATATTAATTTATTCTGGAATTAAATAGATATTAATTTATTCTGGAATTAATTAAATAATATATTTATTCTGGAACCATAAATAATTGATTTATTAAGGAACTATAACTAACTGATTTATTAAGGAACCATAAATAATTAATTTATTTAGTAAAACAAATCCTAGTAAACTATGAGTTAGCACAGACACCCAGAGAAGACACCGTTGAATATAGACTATAAAAGAAATATATTTCTTACAATACAGATCAAGAACCCTTTACACAAACCACACTATGACTAAGAAAAACAATGGGTTGTATATTGGGTTTTTAATCCTCGTAATTCATTATGATGCAGTAAAATACTTCCCAAATCTTTATGTACCTTTAAAATCTGTTAAAAGTGTGCCAATGCTTTTAAAATATTTAGTAGTGATAAAATACAAATCTACTCATCACAATTCAAGTTTCAAGTTATGTACGCTATATGAAACAATCGACATTATGATGAAAGCAGTAGTCACAGGCAAAAAAATTCGGCTACAATCCAAGATTTTTTCACAAACCAATTATCAGTGCAGGTTCAAGAGTCTCATTTCCTTGTTACGGGTTTTTTCCCCCTTTTTTTATCGAATTAAAAGTCTAAAGGACGTGTCCTCGGCTTATCTATGTATACTATTCAAAAAAAGTAGGGGATATTTGATTTTTAAGTGTTATTAAAGTCACCTTATGAAACTGACGAAGAAACAAATGACAAAATGAAATGAAGTTCACATTCATCGATTTATTCCAAATGATCGTTAGACTAAGTAAGGCACAGAAGGCCATTATAAGGGTAAAATGATACCCGGGGTCAAACAGCAAAGTTACCACAGCATCACAACCAAGTCAGTAACGGGTAAATCCTCCTCTGTTTGCCAAACAAGCATTGATCCGACGTGGCATACTCCTAATGAGACGTCTAAGGTCATTTTGGTCCAGATTGTCCCATTCCTGTTGCAACGCAGCAGCAAGTTCTTGGACATTGGCAGGACGTTGTTGACGTTGACGTAACCTCTGTCCAAGCATGTCCCAGACATGCTCGATGGGGGAGAGGTCGGGACTCAGTGCTGGCCAAGGTAATGTGGTGATGTTCTGTTGTTGGAGGTAACTTGTAACTATCCTGGCCCTGTGACATCTTGCGTTGTCATCCTGGAAGATGAAACGGCGGCCATGACGTCGTGCGAACGGCACAACATGGACTGCCAAGATGTTGTCCCGGTAGTACTGGCCTGTAACACGCCCTGCAACAACATGTAAAGCCGTTCTTCCAGCAACAGTGATGCCTCCCCACACCATAACAGAACCACCCCCAAATCGATCATGTCTGATGACGTTAACGTCTTGGAAGCGCTCGTTTCGACGACGCCAAACCGTCCTACGTCTGTCCAAAAAATCAACAGTGAACCTTGAATCATCTGAAAACATCACATTGCTCCAGCGTCGATTATCCCAGTGTTGACGATCCCTACACCAACGACGTCTTGCCTGAATGTGATGATCTCTCAAACAAGGGATCACGCGAGGACGTCGGGCGCGAAGGTGACCCCTATGCAGTCGATTCCGAATCGTCTGGCCACTCACTCTCACACCAGTGTCTGTTTGAAGACGAGCGCTGATCTGATTTGCTGTGATGACACGATTTCTCAAGGCCAAGGTACGGATAAATCGACCCTGGGCTTGAGTTGTCGCCCTTGGTCGACCTGAGCGTGGTCTGTCCTGTACAGATTGTGTATCACGGTATCTGGACCATAGCCTGCTTATGACAGACTGAGAAACATTCATCGTCCGCGCCACAACCGCCTGTGTTGTGCCGATCTGTAGCATGCCAAGGGCACGTAACCTTTCATTTTGGGTAAGCCGACGCATATCAAAATTTGTTTTCTGGTCACTAAAACAATTAAACTGATGTTTCCACCCTGGAATTCAATGCCACAATGACTGTAACATTCAAAGTCAGAGTCGTGCAAATCTTGGGTTGGACCCCCATGATGATCCCAAGCATCACCTGCATTCCATGCGGTAGCTATTGGTGCGTTTGGGCGTCACATGTAACTGGAAATGTTTCTTCTGTTAGGTTCTATAGTGACTTTTTTCGTAGTCATTTGCATATTTTAGTATTATGCCCCCAAAATCAAATATCCCCTACTTTTTTTGAATAGTATATAAAACATAAAAGTGTTGGATTGATTGACTTTTATCTGGGTTTAGTTTAGGTGAAAACTCTTCAGCGTTTAACATTTTATGACTGTAGTTAAAAACGGGTTAGATAACAGCTGATGCATGTTAGTTCAAATATGCTTATGTATGTATAAATACGCACAATAATATTTATTCTATCAAAATATAATCCAGTTTAAAAGACTGTTACACCAGGACACAAAATCTGGATCTCAAAATTGAGTTATTAACACATGATCAGTTAATTTTTAATATTGTGGTCAAAACCATTTTGCTACAGGATCAACTCAGACCTTCGTGTTTTGTCGCCGCCAAGGTCCTCCATTTTTATCGTCCATAAGTGACGGTGTCTTTCCAGGGGATATCAGATTAACATTCCCGAGTTCATTCCTAGCATCCCGCACCCGCGACTTTTGATGAGATTTACCAGAAACCTTGTTAGCCGCTGTCTCTATGACAACCAGACGATAAATAAGTAGTACTATCACTAAGGTGTTTTTAGAAGTAAAGAACATATTGGTGTAACTGACAACTTTGTATCTGAATATTAAGAGCATCCTGATTACTAGAAAAGGTAGGTCCTGCAATAAGATTGATATTACAATCCCGTATATTTCCGGGTTACAGCATTCGGTGCCCTCCGACTCTCGACCTACGTTTGCAGATGGCACCCCAGATTGGTCTCGCCTAGCCCTTGTTGCTGTTAACACAAGGGAAAATTGAAGTAAACTTGTTGTCCATATTCCCAAAATGATGTAACACAAAAAACGATTGTACTTCACCTGTAAACAATAAATTGAAAAATTAAAGAACAATTAAAATGGTATGTCATTCCCCAATATAGTATGGAATTGAAATGAAACAAAATTGGCTTTAAAATCTAATCTTTCTGCACCAAGCTTAATAATGAAGACGGGCATACGCAGTGCAATGTGCTATGAGGGTAAATTTGCCCGGACAACGATCGTTGAATTCCCACATTCAGGGGTTCTTTTATGTGCACACTAACGGGTAACCTTGGTTTCGTGCAGCCCGAATGACTTGACCAGAGGAACTTTATAGGCCAACATCGGGAACGAACCCCGGACCCTCTGGTTCGTGAATCAAAAAACAAAGCGTTACTCTAAGAATTCAGAATAAGGCAACTTTAATGGGGTCTATTTTAAACACCGAAAGGTCGGACCATAAACGAGAACTACTTCACAGCACATTAATAAGTGAATTAGATGAAAATGAGATGAAAATAACACCTCGGTTGGTAGTCAAATGGATATTTGGGAAATTCGCTGTTTTGTTTTTTTCAGGTCAATTTGTTATTATTTCTAATCCAATTTAGAAATGTGACGTGTTGACGGAACGTTTTGTTATGATATCATAAATCTGAACAGCCATACGTATTTTGGCTTTCCTGAATATCGACGAAAAGCTGTTACCTGTTCTTCACTAAAGGCTTCGTAAAATTCAACAATATCAGCAGCTGTACCAACATAGACCAATAATAACTGCGATAACTGATCATGTGACAGAGGGCCTTTTGGTAACATCCATCGTCCAACAATCAACATCAGTAGCAGAAACTGTTCTATGACACGTAACCATAAATCAGATGATAATGTCAGTGGAATATTTATTTCAAGCTGCAGTGATATAATAAAGATTATATACAAAACAACAAAAAATATGAACACTGTAGCATTTAAAATATTCCATGCAATAATATAATTTAAAGGGCAGCGATGAGTACAGTAACATGCTCCTTTAGTGGCATTTAGCGATTGCAAACATAACAAAACTGACACAATTATATGGGACAACAATCACTGGTTTATTACACAAGCACGATAACGATAGGAGGATACTTATCGAAACGTCGTGTTTATGAATAATAAACCAGTGACTGTTGTCCCATATAACTGTGTCAGTTTTGTTACAGTAACATGCGTTTTTAAGCCGCTGACTGATCGTTATTGGAGGGATGATGAATGTCTTGCAAATAACACTATTGTTTGTGAATGTTCAGTTCAAGTTCTGGTCCTGTTATTAGTGAATGATTTTGTAATCTTTCCATTTGAGGCATATGGCCATGGATTGGATTGGCTGGGATTTCTTGCTTAAATTTAGAAAACATAATGGGATCTACAGAGAGAGAGGGTGGGGGAGAAAATGGGGTTTAACGTCCCACTCGACACAAACCTGGTCATTTCGGGACTAGGTTCAATTTTATTTACATAATTCGCTTGCCTGCGATGTTGGACAGGAGGCCTTCTCCTTGTCACGTACAACCGGGAATCGAAACCACGCCAGATGACTCAACGACAGACCTTATCATACAACGCGTACGCGCTAAAAATTCGCCCCCCACCCTCTAATGGGTCTGCAGCTACCCTGATTGATAGTGGTTGTATGAATGCTGTCTGCATTTTTTGGTTGTATTTTGGTTGAAGCATTAGGTCTATAGGTCTGCAGATCCTTTTCTATGATTTAGTGGAAATAGACGATAGTACAAAGCCAATGCCACCAAAATGTTGGATAATAATCTTTTGACGGGCCTCTTTTTAATCCGAGTGTTTTCTTATATTTTTTTAATTAAATTTTAATGATAAATAATCAATCTGAGGACCTTTGATCATCTGCAAGAGCGATTTCATCGCATCCCAGTGTCAAAACTACTCCTTGCAGATGTTATTAGACTGCACTGTAGTGTATATGTCTTAACAGCATAAAAACTTTCAAAGAAACAACAGAACTGATCATACGGCTGATAAATTTGTTTAAATCTTTGATAATATGCAATACCCTCAAGAAGCGCTGAATGTTTCTGTTATATTGCTATCCGCTACATTAGTACATATGAAATGCAAAGATGTAGGAGAATAATGTGAAGAACACCCTCTAGGGATGCGCTATGGAGTGGTTAAAGTTTGCGTTCCAGCAAATAAGCAAACAAGAAGTAATAAAATAACCCTTTTTAAAAAAAATGAACGCTGTTCTGGATGGAATTGAACAATACACTGCAATTAGAAAGAGACAATCATTCAGTCTGGAAAAAACTGTATTATTGCATTTAATTTCACATCATACCTTTTGTTGATGAAATTGGTAAACTTTTGAGTTTCGCTTTTCGATAATGAGTTATAACAATTATGGCGCTATATTGCCAATTGAAGGTGAACGAACAAATACTTTTTATTGATCCAACGTTGTTGCTAGATCATTCAAATAAAAACAGACTGATGATATATTGTCAGCTTGATTCAGTGTCAAATATTTCTGAAAGGACGTCAAGGGAAATATCATTTATTATTTTCCGTCAAACTTTGAGTGCTGCACCATAACACAATTGTTTTGGGTTAAAGGGAAAAATATCTCTTTTCGGTTACTCGTGTATAGATGAATGCACAAGTTTAATATACTAATAGTAATAACCCTATATATAGCCGATTTTGACATTACCTTCAATTGTGTCTCATGATTGGTGGAAATATTGTCATTTGTCATGCAAATAGCGGGAACAAAGTTTAGTATAATCTTTGAATGACATTTAGCGATTGAACATGAAATTTAATGAAATGAAATGACGTTAACGTCCGACTGTTCTGCACCGACTGGGCTAATAAAGACGGGCATACGCCATGCAGTATGCTATGAGGGAAATTTTGCCCGGACAGCGGCGCTAATTCCAACTCTTATATCGAATTACAACTGCCAAGGTATCTTTTACGTGCACGCTAATGTGTACACGGGACTTCGGTTTTTCGTCCCATCCGAGCGACTAGACAGCTGTCCCTGTCAGGCCCTCCGTCCTGCACCACTGAAACCGCACCGAGCGATTTATAACACAACACAGTTCTATGGACACAATCACTATGTTATATAACACACGACGTTTCGACGATATTTCACTGGTCCTTATTAAACATACAAATTTACTATATTATAGTGAATGGTATCCATAGAACTATGTTGTGTTATAAAGTTCAGATATATATTTATTCAGAATCTGCCCCGAAAAGTTTCTTGTCGGTTGTAGTATGAAATATACGACTCTTTAACTTGCTTTTATTGACAGTTATTTTGATTGTTGGCAGACATAGCTTTTTTGTCATGTATTTTCTTGCTTTTTAGAATTTCCACATGGTTTGATCGAACGCTTAGATGTGTACTTTTCCGAAGATGCATCGTTGGTCTCTGAATGGCTTGAATGTTTAACGGTGTCGAAAACAATATTTAGAATGGTTGCTGTAGGTGTATTGTACACAACATTATTTTTAAACAACGTCCACGATGCATATGGTAATTGTATAGTGTAATGTATATATGATGTAAATTGTGTGTAAATTGTATAATATAAGATATACCTGTGATGTAAATGTAAATTTGGAACATGTATAATATAAGACATATCTGTGTTGTTATCTGTGTGGAAATTGTATAATACGAGAAAGGGGCATAGTCCAAGAAGTTACGGCCCGATATGCGCGAATCTACAGGAACCAAGATCTTTGGGATATAAACATATTTTAAGTTTTATTAAAACAGATAAAAATTGTGACCTCTAGAGGGTCCACAACCTTGGTATTACATAATTTTACACTATTTGCGTACAAGAAGCGAGCAGCCATTCTGTCGGGCAGTTTCCATCCGATTTTTACGAAATTCAAACTCAAGCATCATTATGCATTATAGCGTAACGGTGATATATTTAAACGGTTTTTAAAATCGGATAGAAGTTGACGGTCTATCCGTATTTCGAATAAAAACTGCCAAGGGTTCCTTTTGATGCACGGGACCGCAATTGTTGCCCCATCTGAACATTGTACATTGCCAGGCCTTTCATGAGGAAACCATGGGAAATACCGGTAGCGAACCTTCTGTTTAGCGAGGCAGCGTCTTACTGAGCCCCCACGGCTCTTTTGAAAAAAATTAAAGTAAGATTAGATTTTCAAAAAGGCTCAAATGGTCTTAACGACACTTGCAAATCTTCTAGGTATGATACAGTCGTTTTTCTTTATAACAGTACCACAGAAGAGCTTTCAGGTTAAACATGCATTATGCAAGAGCAAAATCAGCTTATTACAAGTCTTTCTTTAGGCCTGAAATGTTATCTAAATTATTAATTAGACATTAATTAACTTATCCAGACCATAATAAACTCTCGATGTCAAGGCTAACCTTCGATGTTGGCTGGATTAGATACCTATATGCCGCTAACGGCCATTGATAATTAAATCAAAAAAGTGGATAATCGAGACTATACTGTTTATATTAATGATTTTAGTAATGATGACCAAGATTATGAAAAAATTTCACCCGCTTCGTTCTCGGCTCATAGTGGATCAATTTGATTGAAATTTTCAGCAAATTACCTTTACACTATCTAGTTTTTAACTATTATAGCGAGAACTGCCATCTCTTTATCTTATCTCACATAATGTATCTTTAATCTTCTTTTTTTTTAAAGTTGCACAGAACCTTTGTTTATAAACTGATTTTGATAAAAAAATTTTAGAATATGCACCAAATGACTCATTGACATTTTACCTGATTTCAAAGTCTTACACTTTTTTGAAAAAACTTGAATTTTATGACATCACTTTAAATAAATCTAGGTCAAATATCAAATTCCTATTGCGACAATCGATTGCGAATAGTGAATGCTTTCCAAAAATATCATGCTATTCACATTCGGATAAAAATTGTAGCGCGGGTAGGATTTTGAAGATTGACTTACATTTTCAAAATAGTGGCACTTCCGGTGAATTTTAACTTTAATGAGATTACTCTAAAACGTTGATAGACGACTCTTATTAACAAATATTGTTAAATAAGGCAAAACTAAAGAAGTTTAAAATTTGACTTCATCTTTAAAGGGCAGATAATTGGAAATTTTTTATTGACATTTTTGGCTTAATCCACGCATGTTTAATGTATTCTGAAAGTTTCAAGTCGAAATATTCAAAAATAAAAAAGTTACGCTCAGAATGTTCACTCTTTTCACTTTTGACCTTAAAATTGGGCCATAGGCATGCTTCGTAGAGGCCACAATGCCCGAATATAAAAGTTGAGAAATACAAACAGCTACAAATTGGTGAAAACCGCATTCAAATTGCTTGAAAAAAAAAGGTGTCCTTTGATGTCTAATATTGGTCTATTTTTGTCGATGACGTCACTTCCTGTTATGATTTTTAAAGTTTTGGGTATTCATCTACCTTTTGAAATAAATACCTTTTGGATAGTATAGAGTTTTATTCTGTAGAACATGTACTTTTTCCAAAAACGCGAGGAAAAAAAAAATAATAATCCGAACAAAGAGAATAGTTTTTATACTACAGGAATATCAAAGTAGTGAAAAGAAGAAAGCAAGGGAAGATACTTTAGCAATTCTTCTATCTATATTATGTAGCACTACAGATAACAGAAGATCAGCATAAGAACATGAAATAGATATAAGTCGGGAGGAGCTCTATTCCAAGCCTGGCTTACTGTCAGTAAACTCTTGGTTATATAGCGTCCGACAATGTATAAGGGTCATCATCATGTATGGTATTGTTTATTTATCAGATTATGGTATATGTAATTTCACTGCGTATTTCCTTTGAAGTCATTATCAGGTCATGGTATGATGCACTGACCACTGCATTTTCCTTTTAGGTCATGCCGAGTGCTGTACACATATCATATATAGCTTGTAATGGTCATATAAGATTAATAACATGTTTAATTAGAAGACAGATAGACCGGGCGCCTGCTTCAGTTAATCATACTAAGAGAGGGAAATTGTCTGATAGGGCATAATTGTTTGTCAATGCCTACTAGTCAAACATCTGGATTGCGGCCGGGAATTAACCTGCCCATTTAGATGGTGTGGGGGCCTAAAGGGAGCCCATTTTCACTTTTAATCATACTTTGGTAGGGATGGACAATTTTGATAATATTTGATATATAGGTAATACTGAGTCGAAAAACACCATTGACAGCAACTTTTTGTTGACAGTGACCTTGGACAGCAAAGGTCAAGTGCTGTCCAAAATTCATTTATTCATACTAAGTGAGGGATGGCTAAAACTTTTTGAATATGATTCATTAGACGGTTCCAAACATTCCTACATCATTGCCAGCAATTTCACACTGACCGGAAGTGGCGACAGTGACAGTTAAATACCACAACATGGCATCGGGTATGAGGCATCAGATATAATCATACATTGAGAGGGATGGCTGATTTATTTACACAATGTTAAAATATGTATATACACTACAAAAATGGTATATATAGAAGAGTAACACTTTGGTTTAGATAATATAGCTACCCTGCCATTTATGCCCTGCCATCGTAATTTTGCAGTAGGAGATACTTTAACATTTTGTGAATTTATAGCCTTATCAGGCACCCAATTTCATGAGGATGGAGCCTATTACGTAATCATCACTGGCGACACTTCCGGTCAGTGTAAAATTGCTGTCATTTGTATTTTTGTAGTGTATATACATAATTTAACATTGTGTAAAAAATTCAGCCATCCCTCTCAATGTATGATTATATATGAGGGTGGGGCCTATTACATAATTATCACTGGCGACACTTCCGGTCAGTGTAAAATTGCTGTCATTTGTGTTTTTGTAGTGTATATACATACTTAAACATTGTGTAAAAAAATCAGCCATCCCTCTCAATGTATGATTATATCTGAGGATGGGGCCTATTACGTAATCATCACTGGCGACACTTCCGGTCAGTGTAAAATTGCTGTCATTTGTATTTTTGTAGTGTATATACATATTTTAACATTGTGTAAAAAAATCAGCCATCCCTCTCAATGTATGATTATATCTGATGCCTCATACCCGATGCCATGTTGTGGTATTTAACTGTCACTGTCGCCACTTCCGGTCATTGTGAAATTGCTGGCAATGATGTAGGAATGTTTGGAACCGTCTAATGAATCATATTCAAAAAGTTTTAGCCATCCCTCACTTAGTATGAATAAATGAATTTTGGACAGCACTTGAGCTTTGCTGTCCAAGGTCACTGTCAACAAAAAGTTGCTGTCAATGGTGTTTTTCGACTCAGTATTACCTATATATTAAATATTATCAAAATTTTCCATCCCTACCAAAGTATGATTAAAAGTGAAAATGGGCTCCCTTTAGGCCCCCACACCATCTAAATGGGCAGGTTAATTCCCGGCAGCAATCCAGATGTTTGACTAGTAGGCATTGACAAACAATTATGCCCTATCAGACAATTTCCCTCTCTTAGTATGATTAACTGAAGCAGGCACCCGGTCTAAGACAGTCATGAAAAGTCAATATCATATATATTATCAAAAACCAACGGGGGGTTCAATTTGATGAAAGTTATAGAGCACTTTGTCAAAATCATTTACATGCCAATAAGAGCTACTCCGTTGGGTTGATTACATTATTCGTAATTAGTGTACTATAGTTCATTGACCAATCACAAAGCTGAACATTATAAATGCAAAAATAATGACAATCAAAAAACACATGGTATTAACCGCTTTTTACTAAAATAACAAAATGGTGTAAAATATTTACCCCTAATTCTTCTATATTCATTCTCAGGTCTTGTATGGTAGTGTTATTAGCAACTAACGCTGATTCGTTTCTGCCATGACGCAATGCTATCCTTGTTTCCATTTCATGAAGTTCCAAAAACCAAATAGCAGGAACCACACTGGCCAAGTATAGAAATACACTGGGACAAAACCTGAATTTTAATAAAAGAAAGAACTTTCTAAAAAAAATTCCAGAAAAATAAAGGAGTGATCTTAGTTGAATTTTGATGCTTCTAAGGTGTTGGGGGTGGGTCATATTTAAATGATGAACATTTTCGACTAATAAGTAAATAATGGAAAAAATGCTAAGTAGTCTATTCTCTACAGTCTTTGTCAACCTTTTATAGAAAATTATTACAGAGAGTCATAATGTTTTAAATTTCATAACTTCTTTTCGTAAAGTTTGAGGCTGGTAGCGAAATTTGGCGATATTTTATAACGTTATTAACTTGATGCCGATGTTAAATCATATAATTTCTGTTTGTATGACACCGGTCAATATCATTCATATATTAATGTTGACGTAAAATGTTATAGTTAATGCCTTTATTTTTAAGAAACCTAGATAATTACATTTTTTGCGTTCGACTGTACTCTGGTCCGGTAGAACCTGTACCGTAATACTTTAGAGCTCTCATCGTTCTTTTTCATATCAGCGGCATGATTCGAAAGAGGTACAGTTTGATGCATTATTATGTTTTTACACAGTATCCCGTTCCGTCTATTAGTCTAATGATGAAAATCTTTTGAGTTTGAATGTTCGAATAATCAATAAATGTACTTTATTAATTGTTACTGTTTAAACAGGAATTTGTATAATAACCACATCCTCGTTACAATATATCCTTTAATTGAAATCATTTTTCTCGTGTTGTCATTAATAAGATTGTGCTTGATTATATCTAAATAATGTTTTGCTAACTGATTGCGTTTTAATGACACTTTAACTAATTCCTATGGGTATGGACAGACCAGCACACAGTAGTTTGAAACTATAAATTTTATTTTGATATCATTTCGTATAAGAATTATAATATTACAGGAAACATATCATGAAAGGTTCTTCCAGCGACATTTATTTTAATTGACGATTTAAGTTTCGATTACACTTCATGACTTCATTTAAGATGTATTTACATAGTTACAAGTCATTTAATGTTAGCTGAAGAGGATTCATAAAGAGGTTCCTTTTAATCATGATTACACACACGGACGATTCTCTAAAACACCACGAAGTGTACACAGAATATTCTACAAATATGTTTGCAAGATATAATCACTCATTATTATCAAGCGATTTTTACGTGTATTGGAATGAGTTTGGCTTTTCAATTTATATCTGTACTTTGTTGCGCAATTTTCATCAAGGTTTATACAAGAAAAAATACTATTCATAATTGATAAGTATACAGATTAAATACTCCATTTCGTTAATCCTTGTACGCAGATATCTAATAATATACGGATGGCACATATCACGTAACACACGATTCTAATTATTGTTTCTATTAAAGGGTCCAGTTTATAAAATGATATTGTAGTCGTTTTTAGTTGTTTTAAAGTGATAATATTATTGATTTAATGAAAGTGAATATATCAAAGATGCCTTCCCGGGTAAAAAAATGTGTGATTTGATGATATATTTGGACTGAAAACATATTCAAACTGATTTATCAAAAGTTTGCTTCAAATTACTCTCTATTTTAAGTATGTAACTTGGGGGGGGGGGGGGGTCCATTTACAGCTTGTATTTATCATTACTCTCAATTAACTGACCATAAATAACGAAGCCTACGTAAATTCTTGGATTATCCTCTGTAAACTTCGTTTTCCTGCGAATAATCGCAGAATCTGCTTTACGTTTAATCCCTCGCACTTCTCATAACCGTTAGCCATTTGGCCAACACACCCGTGACGCTCCTTACGACAACCCAGCAGACAGCTAAACTGACATTATATTACAAGCAGATCTAGATTTTCACATCATAAATAATGTTGTTAAAAATCACATTAATTTATTGAAATTTATCAATTCTAAAGGAAGTTATGGCCATCTAAAGGTCCCACTGCTTTCTTTTAATTACATGCCGCCATCTTGTTTTCTCAGAGATTGTTAACCAACGCATGGACAATATTTCGGTATCAAACCTACGTGTCTGTTCTTTAAGTGGGGGATTCGGTGGCAAAATGGTTATGGTCTGTCATTGAATGAAGTGGCGTGGTTTCAATTGCCCGCTGTGTACGTGTCGCCTGTCTAACCTCTTGTGTTTTCTCCGGGTTCTCCAGTTTCCTTCCACTGCCAAAGACCCCTACGCGCAAGCGAATTGTTGAAATAAAATTGAACCATATGTTAGTCCCGAAATGACCTAGTTTGTGTCGAGTGGGCGTTAAACCCCATTCCTATCTCAATGTGTGCTCTTTAAGTCGTTGAGATTACTGTTTGAAGGCTCTTTGGGTAAAGGAAAATTTTTATTGGTCGTCTGATGTATTATGATTTTAATGATAGGTATTATACTTTCTTTCCACAGGGGGGGGGGGGGGGGCGAATGGTTAGCACGTGCGCACTGTATCATAAATTCTGACATTGAGTCAACTGGCGTGGTTTCGAATCCCCGGTTGTACGTGACAAGAAGTAGGGTCGCCTGCTGTCTAACCTCGTGGGTTTTCTCCGGGTCCTTCGGTTTCCTCCTACTGCTAAAGACCTCTACGCACAGGCGAATTATTGAAATAAAATTGAACCATGTGTTAGTCCAGAAATGACCTAGCTTGTGTCGAGTGGACGTTAAACCCCATTTCTCACTTTCTTTCCACAAGATGTCGGTCATTTTGAGACTAAAATTTCTACGGTTATGTCTGTAATGCGAGAGATAATTTTTCACAAAAATATGATAAGGGGTTGTTTGGGTGAACGCCAATGTGTACACAGCCGGACCTCGGTTTTCGTCCCACTCGCACGGCTAGAGGCACACATTCTTTGTCGTCCCAACTGACGCATCCATAACAAGTGAAGGACGCCTTTGACGGTGGTGGATTAAGGCGTGTAATATGTGAGGGACCTTCTTTGATGCTACAATGTGCGATGGTTTGCGTGGATGTCTGAAAATCGGTATGTATGGTATTTTCTTAAGTTCTTCTTATTACTAGTACCCTTAAGGCATAAAAGTTCTAATTTTACTGTAGATTTTAAGTCGCAAAACTTGGGCTTGAAAACTGGTGAAGGTTGTTCTCGGCGAAGGACATTACTGTCGAGACTTCAATGTCCTGGCCACTGAACTACCACAATCACCAGTTTGAACCATATAGTTCTTGTTGACAGTTTGGTTTGTGTAAATATCCAATTCATAACTTGTTTTTAACGATTCCACTATTTGCTAAACGTCAATACGGGGTTAATAAGTGCTACGATTAGATGAGATTGGTTTCGTAGAAACAGTCACATTTTCTGATGTAGCTTACCAAAAATAATCACTAGGGACATTACAAGGTAAATACTACCTTTCGTTTGGTAATTGTTCTGTTATTTTGAACGTTTACAGTGATGAAAATAAAATGAGAACTTTGATGAAAAGTTACTAGACTATTCGTACAGCAATCACTTAATTGTTTCATATTGATGACAAGTTTGGCCAGGTAAACATCTCAGATAAATATATAATTATATTTTATATCACAATATAGAAATTAACAAACATCTCGGGTCCACAGTCAAAATGAAGTGGTCATTATCTATTCGTGGATTGAGTAGGAAATGTCGGTACACTGTCCAATTTTATGTGAAATCGTTTCTATCAGAATAAAATAATTTCTAATAACACGGCCTTGCAAAAACGTGGACGGCAAGGGTGCACTACAACATCCGCGGTGTTTTTTTCGACAAGGATGCTCTAATGACGAGCCATAATCAAGGTTAAAAAATCAGGGTGAGTAATTGTAGTGTCAGGGCGTTCGATCAATGGCAACATTTATTTAATGCATCGCCACGTATGAACACATAACATGTAGCATCGTAATCAGGCGGATCAGGTACATCGGTGGACTTTATGAGAGCTCTCTGGAAGTTACCCTGATCCACCAGTGTATGATGCTAAAGGTTATTGGTGGAGACGTTGTTGCAAGTGATCCAGCCCTCTGATACTGCACTTGTTTCGGTGAGGTTCTGACGTTGATAAGATGCGGCTTCATCAGACTAGCCTTGTCGAAACACACAGTACGGATACTTCTGTAGTGCCCACTTGTTATGCATGTTTTTTTGTGCCAGGGAATATGGGGACTGCAATTATAATGAATACACAGATAAGATTACGGCCACTAAATTGAGGAAGATTAATAGTGATTCATGTAAGTCTTGTTGAAATACATATTCAGTAAAATTCATATTCAAAATTTAACTTGTTCCCCCTGGCTTGTTATATAAATCACCTATAGGCTTATATATACAAAATATTTTAGTTTTGGCGACGAGATACTATAACATACGTCTGATCGATTATGGCGCAATTTATGTAATTTGTATATTTAGTTTGTTGAGAGTCATATCCAAAATATATTTAAAAGGTGGGGAGATCCTGATTACCTATATATGTATTGGCTTTTTTTATTATCTCTTATTCTATGTAAGATATTGCCCAAGAATAGAAATTTCGTAATGACAGTACCTAATTTGAATATTCAGTACGTTATGTTTCACATGAACACATCTGTAATGGGCTGATTGGTTCGCAGACCATGGACACGTGGACATAGACACCAATGTGGTAATTTTATCGTGTATATGAACTGAGCTATAGTCAATAAACTTAATTTCGGTAATGGCGGACTTAACTTGCATATTCTGAAAAAGGCTCATTGCTGTCAGGATGGCATCGCGTAGTTTCTCAAAGATATAGAAACTGCGAAAATCATTGTAGGTTCAACCCTTTCACTTCCGGGCTATATGCCAACGCGATATCTAGACACCTGGAGATATTTAGTTTACATTTGAATATAGAGTTAATAATAATCAGAAGTACCAGTATGTGTTGGTTAATTGACTGGTAAACACTGGCCAATAATAGCCACCTTTTGACACATAATGGTAATGGACTAATGGTATAATTATTCTAGCAACTTGTTAAAGTCAGGCTTTATGTGAAAAGGTTGAACTAAAGTCAAT